GAGAATGTTGTTGCCAAGGAAACCAAGGCAACTGTTGAGCAGCAAATTCAGTTCTTTAAAAAAATTCCATGACAATTTATTCTGCAGGATATTATAGTCTATTCCATCTTTTACAAAAGCCAATAAAATGGTTTTAATGAGGTCTGTGAAACTTGGTTTATGATATTGCTAACATTTACTAAATATTCAGGTTACAGAGCCTAGTACAGTGATAAGAAGACTAGAGTAAAGGTCAGATGACCTAGGATCTAGTCACAAGTCTACCACTTAAATGCCACATGTCCTTGGGCAAGTCATTTTCCTTTTCTAAGTTTCTTTACTTGTAAAAATGGGAATAACTACCACACAGGGTTGCTGTGAGTAGCAAATGATTATGGCCATTTTATAAAGTTTGAAGCACTACACAAATAAATTCAAGTAATAAGCTTGAATATTTTCAAAAATTAATAAAGTGATATGTTTCTTCATTGATTAAATGGCAAATTATGTAAAGTATTAGAAAAATGTGAACAACAAATGTAATATAGACTAGTATCGTAAAACTTCAATTGAACTAGGTGGCAGATCCAAGCTCTGGTCCAGGTTCTACCACAACTGAATAAGTTCCACAATTTCCTTGGGTCTCTTCACAATGAAATTGGACTAGACGACCTTTGTAGAGGTGCTTCATGGTTGTGTTCTCCATCACACAATGATGACTTAAAAGGAAATTCACTCACTACTTGAAAAAAAAAATCTGGGCTATATTTTGCTTGAAAAACTGTCACTGCTAATGTTTGAAAATCACTGACTTAGACTGAAATCTTTTATTTCTGTTTTCAGGCATTTCATAATCCTAAGCTAACTAACCCTTCTTACCTTTACATTCACTCTTTCTCAACCAAACCTACATTCTGAGGCCAGAGTACTCTATATATTATTTCTCAAAATGCCATGGCCAATTCCTGCCGCCACATTGTTTTCAATCCTTATTAGCTCCTGCTGCTGCTACAGCTAGCTGAGCAGCTCTGCCCTAAGTCCCGAATCACTCCCCACCCACATATTCATACACTCAAACTTGACCAGGGCTTAATATCTTTGATAAGACTGTTTTCAAAAAGTTAAAATTTATAGTATATCAGAAACAGGAGATAGTTATGTTAAAGAGAACCTGGCTTCTAGGCCAGCAAGACTTGTTTGCAATTTGATAAAATGTATGAAAGCATCCAAAGAAAGAACTAGGAAGGCAGCAGGAGCCTTAGCTCTAAAAGACAGAAGAGGAGAGTGCTGTAGAAGAGTCATTTGTGCATTGCCTGGAAGAGAGACACTTTGATCCCTGGACTGGCTGGATTCCAGTGGTAGGATAGTCCCATCACAGAGATGAATGCATTCACCTATTACAGGCTGATGCTGTTAAAACATTTATGCCATATATCTGACTCCCATTTGACTCCCTGTGATTTGATTTCATAATCACTAAAAATCTTCTGATTCTTTGACTTCTCTTATGGTGAATCTAGAAAATGCCATGACTAGAGACAAATCCATTTATACTAAATCTGTACCATAAATTAAAAAAATAGCTTTCTGAATTCAGACGTCAGTTTCTGTGACCTTGAGCAGGGTGAGTCCATTCTGAGACAAGACAGAGTAACAAATTAGTCTGAAGGTATAGGAACCAAGGGTCAGATCCTGAACTGCAGTAAACAGAACGACAAAATGCCACTCCGCAGAAACTACAATGGGTACCAAGGACTGCCCCAATAAATACCCTATCTTGTCATACTATTTTCTTTTTAACACTAACATACACTTTTATTTATTCAAGGCCACTAACAACATACTGATGCCTTTCTACAACCTAGCCTACATGCCTTTCTAACAGTTTTTCTCTACGTACCCTAAGCTATAGCAGAAACAAATGTTCTAAGTATACGCTTTAATGTTTCTATCTCTAATTGGAATATTCCTCTTCTCCATGTTGGTGAGTTTAAATTTTAACTAATTTTGAAGGTTCAGCACAAATGACACTTTTTTCACGAAGACTTTTCAAAGAACATTACCCACCAAGGCTAAAGCTAGCAATTTTGGTGACCTAAGCAAGCAGCAAATCACCTTCAGATCAACTTATAACTTATTACTATGTGCCTCACCAGAGTCATTAAGAATTAAGGTATTTGTTAGGTTCTTTTTTTTCCCCACTAAATAGGTATTAACAGGTGTTAAATTCAGTTTCTCAATGCTGTAAGACTACATATGCCATCAACATGTAATGTAATAAATGTTGTAAGTCCAATCTATTATTTTTCTACATTTCAGTGCCCTAGGACATCACAGCCTAGCTTACCTACACTATCAATCTACAGTAGATACACCTTTGTTTCCTAATTTAAAGTATTTTTGCCCACTAAGAGAGGGATCAGTTAAGTAAATATTTATTATTTTTATTAAATAATTATTAAAATTATTTAAATCTATTTATCTGTTGAGGGCACTTGTTACTTGCTCCCTGTAATATATTTGTGAGCTTTTGTTTTATCTTCCCTTCTATGCTCTTTGAAGACACGATCTATATCTATTATATGGATCTATTATATATATCTATTTGTGTCTCACACAGGCTTTCAGCCAGTGAATTATTTACAGAGGGCACTTTAAATATAAATTAAGAATTTCTCTTCCACTTTCAATAAAGGCTCTCCTCATTCTTTTTATATATATCCCATCTTATTGTCTTTGTTGACCATTCCAGTCCACAGGTCACTTCTAAACTCCTATAAAAACTGACTACCTATATACCATTTAATTCCCACCAATACTACCCTAGCATTATTTTTTTAATGTGTATATGTATTTCATAGTCTTTTTGTGTTTCAGTATATCCCAACAATATCTGGGCACAGCATAGACAATTAATAAGTATTAATTCATTCAGCCAATTTAAAAAAGTCAATCAAGACACTCATTAGGAAAAGCGTAATCAAAACTGGCACCTAAAGAGAACAAAAGATCTAATCCATGGCAATGAAAAACAAACTCCTATTGCTGAAGGGGCAAAGCCTTTGACATACATAATAGTTACGAGTAAATCAAATTGTGCTGGTAATCTACAGGTGCCTGGATTTCATAAATCTTCCTTTCACTTTAGGGAGACATCACATTCATTTACTGACAGCAAATGGCTTTAGACAATAACAATTAACTATATTAAACATATAAAGATAACATTCATTTGTAATTTGGTTTTCCCTGCTGCAAATATTGATACAGTCGGTTTGTAATATATATTTCACAGCATGCTAAGCCTTAGCTCTTTTATGTCCATTAGGCTTCCTTCTCTTTAATGGACTAAAAGCAGAAGAGCAATCTTTGAATCTTCACATCTTTTGTATCCTTCCACAACAAGGAACTATATTCACAGCAATTAATAAACACAGCCAAAATGGCTTTTAAGTTATTTGCATTTTGTACATCCTTATCATAATTAGTGGGATACCACAGATTTTGCACACTTGATTGAAAAAATATATATGGTCATATGCTAAAATAAGGGTGTTCTGTAGTTCAGTGTCTCAATCAGAACACTCCAGAGTCTTGCTACTCAAAGCGTGAGCCACAGAGCAGCAGCATTGGTACCACCTGGGAGCTCATTCTAAGGCAGATTCTCAGGCCCCATCCTAGGCTTCCTAAATCACAATCTGCATTTTAAGATCCTTCAAGTGATCTCTTGTAAGCACTTCAAAGTTTGAGAAGCACTGGTTTAAACTCCAGAGGAAGAATCCAAATGTCCAAGAAACATGACCAAGTAAAACTAATTAACTCATAATTGCTTATTTGTTGGTCTTCCTTAAAAGACTAGCTAGGCTTTTGAGGGCGGGAACTTTCTAGCTTCCTCATCACCAACATACCCAGGACATAACAGGCCCTGGAACATTACCCAGTGCTCAAGAGATTTTCGTTTGTTTGTTTGAATGCATGAATGAACAAAGTGAAAATAAACATTTTCTGTAAGCTAATAATCCTTTAGGAAATTGTATAACATGATTTCACATATTACTATACTAATTCTTTAATTCACTGCTATTAATTACATGTTAAATATGTTACCTTCTCTACTTCAGCAAATGCATTTAATGCACTCGACAAAGCAAAAGCTTGGATCATCTTCCTCTGTTGGAGCCACCAGGGGCCTCTTTTTCAAGTGAGATAGCTGCATTTTAATTCTAGCTCTCACACATCAACCCCATATGCCTGCACAAGATGAAATCACCGCAACAACTTGGAGGGGGTGGGGGAACTGAGGAGGAATAGGTAAAGCAAAAACAATTCTGTATCAGGAGCATCATATGAAACCTGGAAAACATGATTTTTGGAAGAGGATACTTCCAGAAAATAACTCCTGGCCAGGGAAAGAAAGAGATCCCTTTACGTTTCTCTAGAGCAAAAGGTGATATTAAAGAATACGAGGGAGTGATAAAAGACCAGTGACTACCTAGCGACGGAAGGTGGAAACACACCAGACCAGAATTAAAACCAATAGCAGCTAGAAACGTCCAAGAAGGGTACAAAAAAAACCACTTCCAGATTTGCAGAGTAGGAAGTCAAGGGAGAAGAAAGGGGAAAGGAAATACCTCCATTAAGGATATAACTTAAGATGACGGTTTTATTTATTATTATTATTATTATTATTATTATTATTATTATTATTATTATTATTATTATTATTATTATTATTATTATTAATGACATACACTTGCGGGGGGACGGAGAGGAAGGGAGGTTGCAATTTCGAGCACTGCAAAAGGAAGGGACTACAGGCGCCCCTTCCCAGCTCAGATTGTCCCAAGGAGGCATCCCAGGCATAAGTGGGTGGCAACGCCCGGCTCCGCTAGTCCCAGCTCCGTGGCCTGAGCCATCTCCTCCACAGCCTGCCGAGCACCGGGTGGGGACAAGAAAGGGCGTACAGGGTGTGGGAGGGCGCGAGGGAGGAGGGGGCGATGCCAGGCTGACCAGGTACTCACCTTGTCCCAACGGAGCCACTGCCCGATGGCGGTGTCTAGCTGAGGGTCTCCGGTGTGGTAGGGGGCGTGGAGCACATTGGAGTTCAGGTCCCCCTCTGCGTTTTCAGCCATGGCAGCCAGAATGCGGTGTGCGAGCCTGGGGGGCGGGCGAAGACACAGGGCCGGAGGGGCTAGACGTGCGCTCACCAGGGTCCCGACGCCCCCTCCTCACTGAAGGGCATCGGAGACCAACCGCAGGGCGTTTGTACCAGCTCCTGCCGCGGCTTCGGGGAAGCAGGAGAGTGGGGGACGTGCCTGCTGACTCCCCCACTAGGCCAGGTCCTGGTCTCTCTGGGCAAACGGACTGAGGAGGTCCCGCCGCGAGTGAACAACAACACTCCCAGATGTCTGGGTCGTGGCGGCCGCCGCACTCGCCGCTTTAGGCCCCGCCCCCGGCCCCGCCCCTTCCCGCCTCTACTGATTTAAGCCCCTGGGGCGGGAGGCGCGAGCCGGGAAGCGCGCTTCTGACGCCTCCCCAGCTTCGCGAGTTAAGACTTGCCGGGTGGTGAGGAGTTGGGGCCCGGCTTTTTATTTTTTAATTTGCCTTTTTCCACGTGTTATTATCCTCCTTACAATCCCCACACACTCCCACGCGTCTCCACGTACCCCTCCTCAGGGCTCGCTCTGAGAACGCTCGGCGCGCGCGAAGGCCCCCTCTCGTTTCTCCTAGGGGCACGCGCCTGGCCGGAGGGTGCGCGGGCGGTCTTCGCACGGCCTGACGGGAGTTGTAGTTCTTTTCTTTCTCCAAGGTGTGTGGAGACCGCCGCAAACACTACGACTCCCAGCTGCTCCGCGCCCTCCCTTTTCTCCGAGGAAAAAAGATACACCTCGAGGCTGTTCCCTACAGACAACGCCCTGTCCGTGTTAGGTATGCTGCACGTTGTGGCCCTGGGCTTCCATTAAGTTAAATAAGGACTAGTACAGTAGGCGGACAACTGATATCCATTCAGTGCTTTATAGTTTACGGAAATCGTTCTGTCGTTTCAACCATCCTGTGACAGAGTAAATAGGCGTGACCCATCCCCATTTTACACACAAAGAGGAAACTGCTTCTGAGTGAACCGACTTTTTCAGAGGCGGAATTCGTAAGTGATGGAACAAGGAAGGGTTCCAGACTTGTTCCAGATCTCCTCAGCCGGCAGTTCTTTTTGCTGTGCTGCTACAGTGGACTAGGAGGTAGGGAGAACAAGATGACTGGGGAGAAAAAACAAAACAACAACAA